CTCTCGATTGTCCTTGTGTGGATCATCCGGATTGTGGACTAGCCGTGCTAACGAATAAAAAAAACTAAATCTTTTTAAAGTTTCTCAAATGTTTTACGCACGCTGTTTTAATTACCAACTGCTCCTCAGTCGTCAAGGGTCAGTGAAACAGGGGCCACGTGACCGCGAAAATGTCAGCAAGTTTAACCGATTACTTTCGGGAGCAATTGAAAAAGACAACACATTCCACGTCTTCTCTTCCATTCTATATCGGTCAATAACGAATATTCGTCGAGCCGAATTCACGTTTGTTTAACATTTTACGTGATTTTGCTTTATCTGGACCCCTTACCATCATTCTGGATAATCCAGAGTGGACTTTATCGCAGTACTTAACACAGTTTGTTTCTGTAGTTCCAAACGTCCATGGACTTGTAATCAAGAAAATGTGTCAAACAAATTAAACTATATTCGGGCGGTGTTGACGATGTCCAGTTTAACACAACGTTACATAACTGACCATCACATATCCACCCTGACCATTTAACCGTCCCACAGCCAGTGCAGTATTTTGTGCGTGGTGTCACTGTCACATTCACCACTCAGATCTTCTCACACACAGTCACGTGTTCATCTTAACCTTGCATCCATTGCGTTTACATTGTGTTTCCTTCTACAGCAGAGTAAAGCAAATCTCCGTGTTTAAAGCAGTTTGCAGCCGTATATTTGTCCAGCAACCTTTGTAATTTCGTAACACACGTTCGCATATCCGACCTTCTCGCAACATCCGCTCTATAAACCCCTCGTCGCCAGCGAGTCGGATACGCGACGTCGACCCGGGCGCGATGTTGAACAAATTCACGAACCATGGGGGACGGGAGACGCCAAGAGGTGGCCCCCTGCCTGGGGAGTGAAACATCCACGGGGTGCGTCGTTACCACAGCGCGGACACTGCGAAACTCCACATTCCAGTGCGCAATACATACATTAAAAGGAATTAAGAGGTTGCATAGCACGCTTCGGATAATTACTCCCTATGATTACTTTCACTTTGTAATTATTGGAAGATTAACTTGAAAGCTCTTACAAAGGAGAGGAAGGGTTGTGTGTCGGCAGCTCATTGCGATCGCAGCATCGCCCTCTCGTGCATCTCGTGTGATTGGCTGGCATTTTATGCCACGGTGAAACACGCATGCATCGGGCCTGGCTCAAGGTCTTCCCCGCCAACGGCGAGGGTAGGGGCATGGCGGGGGGGGGGGGGGCAGAAAAGCTGTTGTGTAGTGGGCTCACCATCACAGTGATACGCCGCTAAAATAAAGAGTGAATTTTGGTGGCACAAATGGATATTTGGCGGTGACGTGGAGCCCACCCAGTTCGCCCCGAGCCCCTTGGCCCGGTTTGTGCAGTCCTCTCCTCCCAAAGGACGTCATCTATTCAGTGGATGTCATATATTCATCAGTGTAGTGGTGGATCATACGACGGCTTCGGCAGAAATGTTCGGCGCAGCAGATGCTAGGCATTCAAAGTGCTGGCGGCTGGCGAAACCTCGGCGAACACTGTAATGGACATGACCAGGATGTGGTGAATACATGAAATGAGAATGCTTCAACACATTTAGTAAAGTCAGTATAAACGTTTGTAATCGCGCACTCACATTATATAATAAGTGATTTCCATCGTCAATGCGTCGGGTGTAGGGCAAGTAAAAATAATGAATAGCAAAAAAGAACACGTTAAATATATTATAACTATTTGTATGTCATTGCCGACGACTGTCTGGTAAGACTGATTTAAACATGTGCTGTCTCACACACGCATTTTTTTTACCCACGAGCGCCCCCTTACAGCAAATTTCATTTTTGCGATTTGAAGCTTTCGTGACTGCAAGGATTAATCTTCTTTGGTTATTTCGGTAAAGTCACGTAGGATGAGAATAAAATAATAAAATAAGACAATAAAATTCTCACGACGTTTCGGCCACAACACAAGTAGCCTTCTTCAGGTGAAGGAACAAAAACTGTCGGGACGACGGAGCTTCAATGAACGCTGCTAAGATTCGTAGCGTCTTTTAAGCTGGTTGAGAGAAGTGAGGCACCTTGACAAAGGGGTTTACATATCAAACAGGAGAATTTTGCATTGAAATAGCTGAGGGATTATTAGCTCAGCTTTTTGAAGAATATATTGAGTACATTTATTATATTGATGTAATTTAGACTTAGGTTTTTTCACATCGGTTTACTGTATGATAGTTGAGTTGTTACAGCCCTCTTTGGCGTCCATGTACTAGGTGCCTCTGTGTATGTGTAGGCTTTGACTTTAACATAACTATTTCTGTGAATAATATATTGAGTACATTTATTATATTGATGTAATTTAGACTTAGGTTTTTTCACATCGGTTTACTGTATGATAGTTGAGTTGTTACAGCCCTCTTTGGCGTCCATGTACTAGGTGCCTCTGTGTATGTGTAGGCTTTGACTTTAACATAACTATTTCTGTGAATAATATATTGAGTACATTTATTATATTGATGTAATTTAGACTTAGGTTTTTTCACATCGTTTTACTGTATGATAGTTGAGTTGTTACAGCCCCCTTTGGCGTCCATGCACTAGGTGCCTCTGTGGATGTGTAGGCTTTGACTTTAACATCTATTTCTGTGACCAGTCACAAGCTAATCCCTCAGCTATTTCAATGATAAATTATCCTGTTTGATTTGTATTAGGTGCCTCTGTGGATGTGTAGGCTTTGACTTTAACATAGCTATTTCTGTGACCAGTCACAAGCAAAATCCCTCAGCTATTTCAATGATAAATTCTCCTGTTTGATATGTAAACCCCTTTGTCAAGGTGCCTCACTTCTCTCAACCAGCTTAAAAGACGCTGCGAATCTTAGCAGCGTTCATTGAAGCTCTGTCGTCCCGACAGTTTTTGTTCCTTCACCTGAAGAAGGCTACTTGTGTTGTGGCCGAAACGTCGTGAGAATTTTATTGTCTTATTTTATTTTATTATTTTATTCTCATCCTACGTGACTTTACCGAAAGAACCAAAGAAGACACATTTCATTTCGCATTCACATGCTCACACCGACTCATACAAAAGACAAATATCTCCCATATAGCCTCTTAGACTGTTGGGGCAAGTGCTCTTAGAGAGCGATTATATTAAGGCCTGCACGGGGCAACAGGACGTGGTGTGGCCAACACCACGCCTGGCCGACTTTGTTATGTTTACACGCTCTTTTTAGGCTCCGCATGGGAGGCCCAGGACCAGTTTGGATATGACGAGCCACTGATGTTAGCCGTGGCCGGGCATCGAAGTCAGGTCGGTGAGCTCATGGCACACAACGTGATCAACTGCACCACTCTTTTACACACGTAAAAAGGTAAACAAAATAGAGGCGCACAATTCGGATACGAACACACTCACAAAAACAACTTTACTCATGCACGCACTCAACAAGAACAGCCGCCACTCGCCACTAAGTGGCGGTGACGTCACAAAAGCGCTTGTGCCAGGCTAGGTGCATTTTGAGGCGACGCGAAGTGTCGAGGGCTCGCTGACAGATCACGGGACAGACTCAGGTACCGTGGGTTGACTGAGATGACTGGTAGAGGCACCGCCAGTGCTCCCCACTGGGCCATCGTGTCGCGTTTTATCGATCCGCCACTCTGCTCATTGTGAGCATTGCCCCTCAGCCCTGCATTGTTCTTAGAGGGCAACAGCCTCCAACTTCTGAATATCATCCTTTATGAATCTCCTCCACAGAATCCGACCTTGATACCTCTGGTACCAGTCATCGGCAAGTCCACTCAGCTCCACATCTTCCTGTATCACATCAGCCTATCTCCCCTCAAGCCCGTGCCGTGACCCGTTTAGCCCATTCTATCCGGCCAAACAAAAGCTGCTTGGACATGCGATGGCTGGGTCATGTGGGCTACATGACCCAGCCAACGCATTAACTGCCCAACGAGCTTACCGATCGGACTATAGCCTGACCTTTCAAGAATCTGAGCTCACGTAATCCAGTCTAGTTGAACCCAGGATGAATCATAGGCAGGCCAGCCTGTTTCAAACCGGCACAGACGTTCCTTAAAAGGGGGACTCCCACTTTTAGCAAGCACTGAGGGCATAACTGGCCGAGAAGACCTACAAACTTCATATGGAGTGACAGTGTTACTCAACTGATGGAAAGATGCCACTCCACTGATTTGAAAGACCTCTGCTGCCAAACCGGAACTGGTTATAAGCTCACTACCCAGGTATGGGAACTTCTCCACTCTCTCCACAACTGTCCACGAGGTGTTGCGGTCGGTGGAGTGTTTGATGACACAAATCACCCGGCTGGGCGTGCGCTGTTTTTGTTGGGTTGGCGCCACCTATACGTGGCACGTTCCCGGTACAGCAGCAGTCTGCAACTCCTCAGGGTGAGCAGCGATTATCAGATCATCAGCATTATTAACATGATTGATCCAAAAGGTATCAGTCTGCCTCCCATTTCATCTGTACCAAATGGAAATTTCACTGGAACAGCCATGGAAAGAGTCTATAACTACATGGTCATTTTTTTTTAAATAACGTAGGAGCCATGAGACACATCCCTGTTGCACCCAAAATACAAACACGGTATATGCCTCCAACTCCTGGCCACGCAGCTTTACCTCGGCCTGCCCATCACAATGATTGTGAGCAGAGGATCAGGTCCCCAAAAGCACGAATAATAACCCACAGCCCAGGCCTTACTGATGGTATCATAAGCCTTGACCGGGTCAATAAAGCAAAGACGTATGTCCTGTTGATATTCCCTACACCTGTGCTGTAGCGGATGGACAGAGAATACGGTGTCTGTGCAGAACTGACCCATTTTTAAACTACATTGACATTCATACAGATAACCAAGCTGCCACAAAGACACACGGACACTCGTACATATAGACGCAGACACTCATTGACATCGAGACAAACCCACACCGTGCTAAGACACTGCCAATTCTGTGGCCTCGTTAATTAGCCTAAGTTTAAAAAAAAAGGTCCAATTTTTTTCCACCCGTAACTTTGTTGCGTTTTTCGAACGTTGCACGATGTGTCATCTTGAAAACGTTGCGACGGCATTGCGATTTATTATTTGTTTTTAATTCCGCAACAAAGTTACACGCGCACTGAGCCATTCGACTCAACCCACGGCCCCGTGTCTCTTTGTGATAGACTGGCAGCAGGCCCGAACCGCGCCCTCCACTCTTTCCTGGGCGGCCCTTGCTCGGCCTATGAATAAAACACCCAACAACAAAAAGCCTTCTCGGTATATTTCATGATGCAAAAAAAACAAGGAAAGTTATTAATAAAATAAAAAAACAAATCTAAAGAGCATTGTGTTATTTAGCTTGATACCGACAAGGATCTTTGCAGATTCTTAGCAAACGTCACCTCGCCATTGCAATACCTTGTCAACCCCTTATCAGTGCCCTTATTACAGACCAATTCAGACCTTATTGGTCACCCCGTGCCCCCTTATAAATCTCAACGTTCATCCCACAAAGTCCCATCACAAGAGGGAGAAACACAAACAAATAAGACACACATACAAACAAATAGTTTTGCTCAATTCCCTCTTGTACAAGAATACGGGCAAACCGTGGGTGTGTGTGTGTGGGGTTGACAGGTGTAAACATGATAGACACTTCACGCGATGTTGTAGGATGTTGTAGGATGCTGTAGGATGTTGTAGGATGCTGTAGGAGCGGGATTCCGTGATAACCACCGGGACCTTACCCAGCCAACTCAAAGAGTGCGCGTTGCCAGTGCAAGAACAACGTGGAACAGGCGTTCAGCAAATTCCAGTGGCTCTTAAACCTTGACCGCAATACTTGCAAACCCCGTTGGTTCTCGATCGTCAATCATTTTTTGTTTAAATAACGTAAATAAATACATGGGGTTTGATGAAACAAAGTACGTTGTAACTTAACGTGCCCGTGCTTAATTCGTTTTTCGATGATTTAGCTTATATATAAAAACAAATCTGGCCCATGTCTTGTTACATGTCTTATTACAGCCCAGAAAGGGCATCTGGCAGCACATGCAGGGCGTGCGTGCGCCCCAGCTTAAGAAGAAGAAGAACCACTGGTTTTGAGCAAACTTCCTCCGAGTTGCATGCAACTTTAATTCCCAGTGTTTCATCATCAGCCTCATCATCATCATCATCACCATCAGCCATGGTGAGTCCACTGCTGGATAAAGCCCTCCCCCCTACATGCCTGCGCCATCTCTCACGATCCTGCGATGTCTTTCTTACTCAGTTGTTTTCCCCTGCGGTCAACAGAGCGTCGCCGTTAAACAACAACAACAACAACGACGACAACGACGAAGCTGTCGCTGGCAACGTCCTCTGCGAGAGAAGCGCACCGTTCCACTTCGGCGCTAGATTCTACTTCGTCGCAAAAAAAAAAAGAAGTGAGGCGGGTGCTAACATCACCACTGAACGTGGACTTTAAAAAAATATATAAATAACAATTCGTAACAATGGCACAACTGTAATTACATTAATAGCGGTAGTGATCGTCCATTCTCCAGTCCATCGCCGCCGCCGCCGCCGCGGATGACTGACAAGTGACTGACAAGTGACTGACAAGTGACTGACAAGTGACTGACAAGTGACTGACAAGTGACTGACAAGTGGCATCTGCCGAAGCATCAGCGGCAACTGCAAGGTCAGCCGCAGCGGCGTTAAGTGTCACGGACAGCTGATGCACCAGCTGCACACACGCTGATCTTATCATCATCGCCACCATCATCATCATCATCATCGGTCTCCGTCTCATCCAACCTCACAATCACATCGTCCGACCGCTGTCAGCAGCAGCAGCAGCGGCGGCGGCGGCGACGACGACGACTCCAGGTCCCGTCGGCACGCCGGGCTCCGCTCCGTGTGTTTCCCCGTGCCGCAAGCCCAACAGCGGCTCACACAGCAGGGGTCGTGTTGTGCTCTCGTCAACCAACCGACCCACCTGCCGGTGTCACCGGGCGATTACAAAAACCCGGCGTGGTGGATCTCGGCCCCCCCCCCCTCTTTTATTTCCCCCCCCCCCGGACCGGAGTTCCGGTGATGGGGGGCGGTAAAAAATAAAACCCGGATTTTTTTTTTTTGGGGGGTAGGGGGGTGGTGTGTGGCCAGCCATCACGCCCCCGTTCACATAACGCTGCAGCGGTTGCGTCGCAGGGCCCCGTGGAGCCGGATTGAGGGGTGCGCGAACTTGCAGCCGCCGCAGCCCACGCCTCGCAGCAGCTCACGGAAGAGCAGCAGCACGCGCCAGTTGTGCTTGGCCGAGCACTCGACGTAGCCGCACTTCCACGACTTCTTGACGAGCTGCGCCACGGTGCGCCGCGGCATGACGCGCCGTCGCTGCAGGTCGCGTTTGTTGCCCACGATGAGGATGGGGACTTCGGTAGCCCTGAGATGGCCGTGGGGGTGTTGGTGGGTGTGTGTGGCGGTGGGGGGGGGGGAGGGGGAGAGGGGGAGAAGGTGGCGATAAGACACGGGGTTACGGTTGATGAGACGGATGAGTGCAGCGGAATAGCAGATGGACGGGCAGATACACGGAAGGTTCGGCGAACGGATGGATGTGTCGATGGACGGACGCCGTGGGTCCTTTCAAGGGTAAAAGACGGACGTGCGAATGGATGGGTGGATGGACAAACAGACAAGTGGCCGGACAGACAGAGAGACGGACACACACTGAAGGTTGACGGACACATAAACGGGAGGAACGGACAAACCGACAGACGACGGACGGACGGACGGACGGATGGATAGACGGGCCTATGGATAGACGGACAGTCAGACGGGCAAGCAGATGGATGGGCATGACGACAGACGGACAGTCAGACAGGTAGAAGGATACATAAACGGATGGAAGGATGGCCAAACGGACAGAGGGATGGATGGACAGGTGGGCGAATGGACAGGTGAATGAACGACGCCGCTGCACCTGAGAAGAAGCCGATTTCAACACGGGCAACAACCACCTGGATTCAAACCCAGGATCTGAGTGGTGCCATCTCAGCGCACTGAACCTCTGAGGCCATCCAGTTGACACGCAGGAGGAGACGGACAGAGATCGTGAGATGAAGGGATAATGCGCAAACCGGGGAGCACACCAAGCGGGGAGAGACAGAGCAAAAAGAAAAAAGAAAAAAAGAAAAGAGAGGGAAGGGGTAAGAAGGAGGAGAGCAGAGCGTGAAATCTTTTGTGAAATCTTTCATTTAAACAGGGGGGGGGGGGGGGGGGCATATAAACCAAAGCATTGAAAAAAAACCGAAATGAGACGAAATTATATGGCGGGGGAGTGGACCACGAACGCATTCACAACGCAGGCAATTTTGGGCGAGCAGTGGGAGTGTTTAAAGAGACACGGCGACGCGGAGAGACGATTGAGAGAGACAGCGATGAAAGAGGGCTGGTAACAAGGTCTGGGGTCAAAGGTCGAGATGTGGAGAGCACCGGAGGTGGGAGGCAGCGCTGCTTGAGCCAAAATAAAAGGCACCGGCCTCAGGTGTCACCAGAGACAACAACAAGGACACCACCACAGGGGCCATGCAACCATGGCCGAGGGGTCCCCTGGGGCGCCAGGGCCCCCGTTTCACCAGAGGCCCTCCAGAGCCCCCCCCCCCCGCCTCCCAAAAGCCTCATAATGCCAAGTGGCTCGCACCGAACAGTGTTATTGGATTTCTGACAGCTTGTAAAAATATATATACCGTGTCCTGGCATCGCTTAAAACACAGATTCACCTGGTGCAAAAGGCAATACGCTGACAAACCCCCCCCCCCAAAAAAAATTGCCCACCCCCCCACCCTACTCCTGCCATTGTACAGCATCTTGAGACGCAGTGGCATTAAGATGCCATCTGAATCCAAATTGCATTGCAATTGCATTGCACATTATCGCTCGTGGCATGTGCTGTTGCGTTGTACCGTATAGCCTGACAAGCGATTGGAGAATCAACCAACCAGCTCATCTACAACACAAGCGGACAACTACTGTGAGCTCTGTGTGAGTCTACGAGTTTCTGTGCGAGTCTTCTGAGTCTCTACGTGAGTCTATTAGTCTCTTTGTGAGTGTATGAGTCTCTATGTGGGCTCACGTAGAGACTCATAGCGGCCTCGCGTACTTGTGAACCACTTTGAATGAAAATCAACGGAGACTTGAAGCAATTCATCACCCACATCAACTCAAGCCATTTTATGGCCAGAATAATCTGGACGTAGACTCGCGAGTTTCTATTCATCCGACTAAACGCATGCGAGATTGCATGTTCGAGCCAAGACCCAAAATTCCAAGGGTAAAGGTGCAGCCCTGAAATTGCTCGCTCACACCAACAAAGGGGCTGTACGCGTACACACATTTACATTACACGAAAAATACATTATCAGGCGGTGGCCTTCAGGGCAGAAAGAAAGCAAATAGATTTGGTGGCTCGTTAGTAATGACCACCACGCACAAACAGGGACCTGCGATGCGATCTGGCTAACGGGTAAAACACAAAAGTCCAGCCCTGCAATCACTTTCTCACATCACGAGAGCCCCAGTTAGGCTGTTGGCTGTAATGGGAAAAATGAATGCTGACAACACGCGGCCCAAATCAAATAATTATGCGGGTGGTTTTTGTTGACTTGTTTAGCGTTCCACTTTTCCATGCATCCTGTGACCTTCCTTGCACCGCGGCGAGACGAGGGACCGGAAAATAAATAATGGGGGCCAAGAAGCGCACCGGCGCACACGCCGCCTCGAAATCAGCGTTCCCTTCACAACCCGGACAGAGGAGACCACATTAAATAAATATGTAACCTAAATTCCAGACAATTTTGTCGTCATAATAATGCAAGATGATGAACTATTCTTTGCCACGCTCTCTGAATTCCCGAGCAAAGTCCCATCTCGCTGGCTTGTAGCCAAGCATTTTATAGCTGGCCCGATGTCTCACAGGTCAAAGGTTGCTGAGCAGGTGCCGCTGAGATCCTGGGTTTGAATCTGGGTTTCAGCTGGCGTCCGTGACTAAGCAGCAGGGATTTCGACAGTGACGTTTTCACGGTCTCAAACTGGTCGTAAAAACACCCGTGCAAGGGAAATTTGTCACGTTAAATTTAGTTTTCACTCTCACTAAAGTCCAGCTCTAAGAATTACAAAAATAAGTATCTTGTTTGACTGCCCGACGGTAAATATATTATATATCTCTTTCATAGTGTGTAGGACACTGCATCGGCCGCTAATGTTTAGATATAAAAAAAGACACTTAGGCAAAGACCCCGAGGCTGGCCCAGGATACGCTGGCGAGTCTATGTCGCTCGGCTGGCCTGGAAACGCCTGGGAATTCCCCAAGAAGAGCTAGAGTCAGTCGCCAGGGAAAGGGAGGTCTCGACCATCACTGCTCAATATGCTGCCGCCGCGACCCTCACCAGGACAAGCAGACTGAGACACGAACGAACGAACTTGAATGATATTTCGCGATATGTCCTCACCCTAGTTGTTCACGTCGAGCTCGCTTCTCTGCAAGATTTCCTAATAAATTATTTGGCCCATGACAAAATAGCTGATAGCACAATTGGATCAAAGTGGCAGAAACGGTTCCAAAAATGTCACATTGTCCGAATTATATAGACCCACTTTTCCCAGAATCCTATATTGACACCGGGCACAAGTTTTGGTTGTGCATCTTACTTTCCAGAGCATCTTATAATCCGGAGAACATGGTATCATGATTTTACGTTCAGCCGCACTTGGAAGAATTTGCTCTGTGCCGAGCCACTAATGGTAATGCTGACCGGCCATCGCGGGGAGATTATGATGGTGACTACGGCCCTCAGCAACGCGAGATGTGCAGTGCTGTTGGGAGGAAAACCAACGCGGACTAGTGGGGGGCAAAGTTGCGGAACTGTGAAAATCGAGCGGCCAGTTCATTCAAAAGAAAATCGCAGCAGCATAAGAAAAAAAAAACAACTCCGTGAACCGCACAGATTACGCAACGGCCCAGGACCCCAGCAGCCCGTCGCTTTTTTTCCTGGAACTGCAATCGTCCTCTTCAATCACTGGTATACAATGTGCCGATTCTTCGCCCGTAGGACAACGGTAAGTCTTCGTGAGAACGGGGCCCGATGAGCGTTTAACGACGGATCGCTTCCTAAGCAGGCAACGTAAAAAAAGGCAGGATAAATAATTATCATCAAAAATCCATTTGGGCCGATCCTTTATCCTTGCCAGGAGTGAGCTGAGAGCTAGTTACGGCGGCCAATTTAATTAGTTCGTATTCCAGGAGGGCCGTTAATCTCTCTCACTAATTAAACCGGCCGCGGTGGCATCCGCTAAAAAACTCCAAAATAAAATAAGGAGCTGGTGGTCAACTGGAACGGAGCCCATTAAATCGCAATATCCCGGCAGTTGTACCACTGATAAAGTATATAGCCTGGTTAATAATCATTGAGAGGTCGGGCACTTGACTCACAATCGAAAGGTCATAAGTTAACTTCCCAGTCGGTGTGGACACAGAGCCCCCCCCCCCCCCACCATCATCGTCATCGTGTACACAAGTGCAGCTCTTGTGTTAATCCACTGCTCGATGGGGCCTCCATACATCACCGTGAGGAGAGGTTATTGGACTATACTTTACCATGCTGCCCACGACGTAACCCCACAGTTGCCGAGAGAAACCTGCCTAACAAAGGGTGGTCACCCATCCAAGCGATACTATCCAAGCTCAAACCCGCTTAGATTGCGAGATCTGACGCAATGGAGCGCATTCCGCTTGATTCGGCTGTGTCAGGGCCTCCACGAGAGCGAGCGCTCCAGAGGGAGCGAGAGAGACTCCCTCCAGAGGGGTAACTTTGGCCTAATCTTCCACGATGTTGCCCAGAAATCTTGTAAAGAGCTGGAAGCACCCGCACGAGATATAATATATTCATTTTTTTTTTATATATATATATAACGGCCCCGACTGAAATATTCCGTGACGCTCATGCCACTCCCGGCCATCCGAGCGATTCGCTCCGAGTGCAGACAAAAGCGAAGGCTGGATATGTCTAATTACATCGTCCCCCCCCCACCACTCACCCACCCCTATGTTTTTTTTTGATGCAGCTTGCAGAGGTCATGGAAGCTGCGTGCCGGCTTGCCTGTGCTTAATTGAAAAACGGCAGCGAGCGTTAACCCCTACCAATCCACACACCCCGTGGTCGGCACGAGGCGAGATTGATATTGAATGATACGGGATTATTGTGGTGCCACGGTGGCGAGGAGATGTTAACTACCTCGCCTGGTGTACAGGAGGTCGTGGGTTCGATCCCGACCCTGACGCCTGTTGTATATTTGGAGTTTGCGTGTCTCTCTCTCTCTCTCCGTGGTTGCGTGGATTTTTCTCCGGGTCCTCCGGTTTTTCCCTTCACATTTACAAACAACTTGCTTTTAGAGTATCTGGCTGCTATGCATTTCCACGTGATGATAAGCCACTTCGTTGGGCCATCATTTGTGATAGCCAGGTCGCTTATGAAATAAAGCTACACAGCTTAGTGGGCCTTACGTGATATTCTAAAAAAATTGTTTCGTATTATTACACAGACCCAAGTTTCGTAATTCCCTGCCCACCCCTCAATCTACCCCCTCCACCATCGCTGCCACTGTTCTTTGCAATTCCTGGTTAAGACAGCCTAGATTTGTTGTTGTTGCGTATTTCCAGCCGCATTGGAATTCACATCCAGCGCCCAGCATTTGCTACGGTGGAATGGTTTTAAGCACGCTTGACTTGCCGTGCAGACGCTCGCCAGTTCGGTTCGATCTCGCGGTGCGGCAGTTGAAACAACGGTGCGAATTTCGTTACTACCCCCCACCTCCCAAAACCCCACCGCCGCCTCTTTCTAAGCCAGCAGTAGAAATGGGTTACACCACAGTTAGCCGATAGCCAGGTTGCGTGTGGTGGGGTAAAGCGTGGGTGCTCACACCTCTTCCGAGACGTCCCACCAGCGTGGAAGAGTAGGCCAAAAACACCCCTCCCCTAGTGGGGCTCTCTCGAGTTCCTTCTAGTGGACGCCATTCAGCCAGCAGGAGCGTGAGCAAATTATTGCAGGGCTTGCGCCCTTACCCTCATGCAGACAACGCATGCCCCGCAGCAGCCTACATCACCCGTTGTGCATGTTGGTAGTCCAATCGAAGCGCAAACCTGCTCATCTGCCCGAGATCTGACGGGATCGGTCATTTGGTCGGGGTTTAGGCTCTCAGCAGAGGGCAGTGAAGCAAAGTCCATTGTTGAAACCGTACTTCCACGATCCCACGTTTGCGTCCCCCACATTAATGACCCGCACAGTGTGGGGAGGCCCTCATCTGACAATGGATTGGCGAAAGCGGCATACAAATTACAGGGTGCTTCAAAAAATCGTTAACACTTACATGGGACTGTCGTTCTTAATGGAAACAGAACGAATAATACACTGTAACATATTCTTTGGTTATTTCAGTAAAATCACGTAGATAAAAAAAAGAATAATAATTATTGTCAAACACAGCAGTGTGGTGTGTGGAGCAGGGGTGCAGTGATTACCTGGCGCCCCTTGCTGCATTGGCATTGCTGCTGCATTGGCAATGTTGGTGCTGCTGCAATGGCACTGCTGGTGCTGCTGATACACTTGGGCTACGCCCATCTCCAAACCTTTATAGACAGTTTGCCTTTAGAGGCTAACCCCTTTTTTCCTGATGACGACCGCTTGTGTTGCGATCGAAACGTCGTGGTATTTTTATTCACTTTATTTTCATTTTTTTTCTATCTACGTGACTTTACCCAAAGAACCCAAGAATATGAATTCCTGCAGTCACGAAAGTCGGAAGTCAAAATTTTACACTGTAACACGATAACAAATGTAATGTTAATAGCTTCAAAAAGTCAAAGAGTCTCCCACTTGTTCGCCATCGTTGTCAACACGTGGCCTGGAACCTTCTCCAGAGCCCCTGGGGCCACGTTTCTTGTGGTATAGTTGCAAATTCTCACAAGTGTGAATTTTTTTTTATGCGCCCTGTACATGCACGTGGGAGTCACGCACCTGCAATCCAGGATCTGCTGCCTCAGCACCTTGATGTACTCGAAGCTCTCGAAGCAGCAGATGTCATAGACGAGGACGTAGGCGTGGGCGCTGCGCAGGCCCCGGCACCGCGTGTCCGACCACTCCTGGCACGCGACGGGAGGAAGGCCACATGCGCTCAACCGTGACACGCGGCGAGATGACACCTTCCCCCAACTCCCTGCCACGCGATGGTTCCGCTACCGAGCTCCCCACCCACTGCCTTGGGTAGCACTGCCCACTGCTCAGGTGAAGCCCACCGACCTATTCGCGTATTTTTCAGAAGCGACCTGGCCACAAACGACCGGGCTCAAAAAACGATCAAGACACACGCCGGCGACGAGCAGAAGAACAGAGGCACAGAACAGAGACGCGGAGAACAGAGGAGACAGAGAGAGGGGCAGCGCGGCGGCCGAGTGAGCCGCGCACCTGGAAGGAGTTGAGGGGGAAGGAGGCGATCGGCGGCACGTCGAGGATGCGCAGCTCCAGCACGCGCTCGTTCATGACGAGCGCGGGGGCGTAGACGGCGCGCGTGCGCGTCGGCGCGTACGTCTCGCCGAACTCGTTGGAGACGAACTGCCGGATGATGGACGTCTTCCCCACTCCCGGAGCGCCCAGCACCGCCACCTTGAACGTCTCCACCATGGCTCGGCCCGCTAGCGAATTCACGAGGACGACGAGGACGACGACGACGAGAGCAGCAATGACAGCAGCAATGAAACAAACAAACGAGGAAGGGAGGAAGGAGAGTGATCACGCGTGGTGGCACATGGGACTCTTTGTTTTATATCCCGAACGCGTTTGTTCATCGGAAGCATTTAGTTAGCGACAGGCACGAGAGTTAATAGATGTGCTTTGACGAAGGGCCATATGCCCGAAGCGTCGATCATTATGTTTTTTTTATTTTTTTTTTATTTTAAGGCCACACACTGTTATTGACGAACCTGTTGCGTTTTGTGTACAGACGAGAGTCGAGTCGTTAGTCGATCGAGTTGGTGAATCGAGGCCACTGTTATGATACATAATCGATTGTGTTGGCTGAGTCCAGGGTCAGGTGATAATCCCGAACAAAACGTGTGTCGTGAAACTCGCCTCGACCCGACATGCTGACTACTCGCCAGGCTATGTCCTGAATATGCTTGGCGCAGTTTCCAGCGAAACGTCGCGTGTCCAGTGGCCAAATACGGTTGTGAGATACGTCCGGACCCAACCACACCGGCGATGCTGACACAATAATACAATTTGGCACGGTTGTGCTTTATTTGCCTGTGCTGTTGACGGAGTGTCTGTGTGGTTTTATCACTTCAGCTCCAACAGCTGTCTAATTCTAATTAGTTGATAATGGATGATAAAATTAGCCACACCCTGTATTTAAAAAAAAGTCGTATTAAGATGTCTACGCTTGTTTATGCAGAGAAGTATCACCGAGTTTCAAGACTCTTTTTCAAGAGGGTCCTGCTAAGATTTTGTTTGCAGTAAGGGAGAAATGTTGCTGCGAAATGTCATCCCAAGCAAGTTGCAGATCATTTTTTCAGCACTGGGATGGTGTATGCACGGTTGTTGTTGTTGTTGTTTTGTAATCTACGGGAGGAAATTGGAGAACCCGGGGGAACTCCATGCGGGAACAAGGGGGGGGAGCGTCCAAACTCCACGCAGAAAGGCACCCAGAGTTGGGAATTGAACACAGGACCTTCTTGCTGGAAGGCATAAATGTTGACACTGCACCCACCCTGTCTGGAAGTCGATAACCGTGAAATATGCTTGGATGTGATTACGTGAAACTGTCTAAATTGTTATCTCAAAATAATTCACCGTTATTAGCCATGCAACAAAATTGCACCACTAATACGTTGCCACCTCTAAACTGTCATCTCTAGCCCGCAGACCACACTGCCAATCTTATCAGACACGTTACAGATTCCACCTGGAATTATAATTATGTGATTTGAATCTAAACCTAACTTTTATCGTTTTCCAAAACGGAATTGATTCAATATTCTTTGGGTCTTTCGGTAAAGTCCCGTAGATAGGTTGTTATTTTCTTTGAACCCATCTACGTGACTTTACCGAAAGACCGAAAGAATACAAATAGCTGCAGTCACGAAAGCTTTAAGTCAAGATGGAATTGATTCTCTTTGACGGACACCGCTGGCGCCACGTGCTGTGTGATTGCACGCCGTCTCTGTGGTAGCGTGCTGATTATAACTGCCTGCGATTGGACGGAATCCGTCACGTGTCGCTCATTGTGACGACTTAAAACTCATTGCGCCCGCAGTTCTAAACGTCTGGAGCTTCCTTCGGAACCCGATGAAGCTCCCTGGACCGTGGAGCGAAACGATCGCGGTACAACAACAACAACAGGAAATAACACATCAGAGAGCCGGATACCAGCACACAAACAAGCGAGTCATCGCGCTCCGCAAGCCGCACTCACAGGTGTGACTCCAGCTACGCGTGCGTCTTGCCGGCACCATCGTGTGGCATCGTGGGCCCGCCGCTTGCCTTCGTGGCGCCGTGGCAGTTCCTTCGCTCCCTCTCTCTCACTCCCTCCCTCTCCCTCCGTGTCTCTCTCCCTCTCTCCGTCTCCCTCTCCTTTTCGTCGCTTCAACACCGCGCGTAGCCGCCTCCAGCGGTTGCTACCGAATTCGGGCTCTCCGGTGCCATGTTCCGCCTCGCCGTGCCCTCGCAAGCAGCTTCCGTCGACGATGAAAACGACGATATGAACAACAACACCACCGCCACCACCACAGCCCTTAGCGCTTGGCTCGGGGGGGCTCACCGCGTGGCCAAGAAGTTGCCTCCTGTGCCTGGAGGATTTCGCTGACGAAGGTGGCCACCTCGTGACGATTCTGCGATGCGCCTTTCCTGCTCGAATGGTTGAGCGGAGTACAGTACAATATTTGCTGTTGCACTCCCCCGCCCTCCCACCACCCCCAACCAAGGCCCGACCCCCAACCGCCACGAAGTCTTTGGTCGCTCGGCGAAAAGCCACAAAACTCCGCACGCTCCTCCCGAATGCTCGGCGGTGATGACGCGTCGAGAGGGCCGTCGGTGGAGGAAGACTGCAGTTTTCAATGCTTCGTTTCTTGAAGTTGTGCGTTTAAAAAAAAAAAGCTATCGAGAGAGACGTTTTTTTGCCCTTAACACCGCTTGCCGAATCAAAGAGAGCGACGCGGTCGCGTCACGAGCGTCGCGTCACGAGCAGCGCATCTCGCGCAGCCTCTTCACGACCCCGCGGCTGCCGATGTTCACGTCGCTCTCGTTGCCGTTGTCGCCATCGCTGCTTTTGGACTCATAGCGTTGCTGATTATTATTGCTGCTGCTGCTACCGCTGTTGTTGTTGTCGTCGTCGTCGTTCTTGCAAAATGGACGTCAGCCGACGACAACAACGAGCATCAGGGTGAACAAAAAGTACAAAAAGCACAAGACACGGCACGTGCGGTATCTCGACGCGCGCATCAAGCCTCGTCGCGGTCGGATGGATTTTTCTTCTTTTCTCACGGAAGCAAAAGGGAAACACCGTCACAATTCTCCGTCTAAGGCACGCCGACAGAAGGTCTTGGTGTGAGAGCAAGCGTGGCCCAAGGGTGGCCCCAGGTGGAAAGTCCGGGCACTCGTGTCCTGCGTGAACCTGAAATGTGGCGATTTATTGACACTCGCAGACAAAGGTGGTTGGGTGGCTCGGATGACCGGTTCTGTGCCAGACGGACGAAGCCGGCCAGCACTTGTGTCAGAAGATCCTGGGATAAAATGCGGGTTTCAGTCGCCCCCGATTAAACTTGTGCTCTCGAAGTGGACGCTATCGGCCGTGGTCACCAAATTGCCTGCGCACAGAACCAAAAACAGGAAAAGGAGAGGTCGTATTGGGTTCGGCTGCTCCCCTCAATGCGGCTAAAATAGCAGCTCCGAGTATAAAAATGTTGGGGTTGATCGCCGCGTGACGAACACTCCCTCTGGAGGAGGAGATGTCAAGGGTGCGCCACCTCGTGTTGGACGAGAGTTCTAGTGGAGCGCGACTTGAGATGACGTGGGCCTCGCGGCGTCGCATTCCGGGAGCGCTCCGTTGAAGCGTGCGGCGATGTTTCCGCTGCCCGATGCCCGAATTCCGAACATAAATGTATTCATCTCTTGACACGACGCTGCGGGCACAATTGGAATGCAATTAAGGCGATGCAACAACAACAAATAAAGATGAAACGGCAAATTCTCTCGAGCGAACACCGAGTGAAAATTGCACCACGTGCAGCTTCCAAACGCCCTGAAATCTGAAATGGAAAAGGCAGAGTAGCACACAAATCAAAGCAAAGGTGGCGTGCCGCATTCCTTGAACTCCTCAACCTGCACCACGACGGGACTCAGACGGGCAACACGGAGGTTCAGACACACTGGCACCGCCGCCGTTGAGGGCCTGAGCTCGTATCCGAGTATCAGGCGCCCCGTGATTTCAACGGCCAAGGGCTTTCGGAAGTTCCACTGATTTTTCCCGGAGCTGGGGGACGAGTGCCCCAGCCGCAGGTAATCGCCGGGCAGCAACTTACACTCGCTGACGTTCATAAACCCGTGCGAGAGACCCGCTGGGACCATTAAAAGGCCAGCGAAAGACGGAGAGATACGAGCCCCGCGTTCCGTAGTCCTGAATCCGGCTGGCGGAGGAGAGTGCGATTGACATGCGAGGATCGAACATTGGATGGTGGTGACGATGACGATCGTGTTAGTGATAGTGAGAGGAGTGATGATATTAATGAAGACGTTGTGTAATGATGATGATGGTGGAGGTGGCATGGTGATGATGATCATGTTAATGATCGTGAGAGGAGTGATGATATTAATAAGGACGTTGTGTAATGATGATGATGGTGGAGGTGGCATGGTGATGATGATCATGTTAATGATCGTGAGAGGAGTGATGATATTAATAAGGACGTTGTGTAATGATGATGATGGTGGAGGTGGCATGGTGATGATGATCGTGTTAATGATCGTGAGAGGAGTGATGATATTAATGAGGACGTTGTGTAATGACGATGATGGTGGAGGTGGCATGGTGATGATGATCATGTTAATGATCGTGAGAGGAGTGATGATATTAATGAGGACGTTGTGTAATGATGATGATGGTGGAGGTGGCATGATGATGATGATAATGTTGATACAGTCGTAACCATGACAATAATTATGATTGTATTGCGATGGTGATAATGATGATGAAAATGAGCCACCGTGGACTAGTGGTCGTGACCCCCCCCCTCCACCCGTGAGCACGCCTCGTGACCTCGCTCGCAGTGTGACGTCCTCGCGTCGTTCACTCCGCACAGAGGGGCACAGCGAAGCTCTTTCATTTATATTTTTCTCGGAAGCATCGCTGCATGTGGACGTTTATTCTCGCTCAATCATCTGCCTCTAAGCTACCGTTTGTAGTGTGTGTGTGTGACTGCGCATTTGCTGTGTGTGTGACTGTGCGTTTGTAGTGTGTGTGGGGCGGCGGGGGGAGAGGTAGCCCGCTGTGCTACGAACCCAGCGAGCCGAGTTGGATTCCCGCTCACGACCAGTGGCGATTTTATGAACCGTCCTTGGGCCTCCCCTTGTGTCGACTCAGCCGTAAATGTTGTCTCTGGCTCGGTGTGTGTTCACATCAGCACTGGGGAGACAAAGGCGGCCGGACGTGGTGTTGGCCACCACCCCGCACTCGTGTGCCGTGCCGGCCTTCAATAGATGCCGCTCGCGCTTTGCCCCAAGAGTCTGCCCACAGCTGTACGTGCACCCCCGCACATATGAATGTGCAAGGGCGCATTTTGTTCGGCAGAGGACCGCTCAATACAACATCATCATCTCCATCATCCCCGCAGCCTCGCATTCCAGCCCTGTAGCTCACCCCCACGACTCCGAGCCCCTCCAAGCAATACGCTTCGCATTGCCATCATAGCCGCCGACACCCCCCACCCACCCTGCCCCACCCGGTCGCTTTCATCGCTATATTTAGATATTAACTCGCTCGATCTATCGCCCCCACGCCCCCCCCCAGCTCCCCCACCCACGTCCACCACCATCGCTGCCACCTCTATTTCATCCCCACGCTCTTTACGTTTCAAAACATTTTTTTATTTCTTCCAGCCGCATTGGAATTCACGGCCGGCGCACGGCGCTTGCCCGTGGCGTGGTTTGTGAGCGGCGAGCGGCACTGCGATTGCAAATGCAGCGCGGACGGAGATCGTGGCTCGGGGGGGGGGGTATGGAGCGACGTGAGAGGCGTGAATCTGCGAATGCTTTTGAGCAGCGAGACAGAGGGAAGGCTGGGAGAGAGAGAGAGAGTTATTCCGTGGAGCGTGGTAACATCGATGATGATGATGATGACGTTAATGATGATAATGATGATGAACCAAGTCCTGCGCATGAATGCAAGAGGACCGTGTCACGGACATCGATGGAAATCACTCACGTTCCTTTCTACGTTGCTGGGAACTTTTCCATCAGCTCGAGAATCTTAACCTGAACGCCCTCCTCCTGCTGCTGCTGCTACTGCTGCTGGTGACGACCACAGCTTCAACACCGTTGCTGAAGTATCCCAAATGCAGCCACATTATCCCAACCTGAACGGATTTGGGCACCGAATGAGTGTCACTGCCGCACAATTTGTGTGACAATAAAATCGAAAAATCAGGGCAGCGCACTGTGTATTTGTATGATGTAACCTACCGGACGTTGTATAATTCCGTAATTTCACTGCAGGGAGGAAAAGCGCGTTAAGGACCCACAGCGATAACGATTTCCCCCGGTAGCCATGCACATGACGGTGGGAGCAAAGCGCTGTTAGCGAGCACCTATTAAGGAAGATGACAAACAAAGCCTGACAGAGACAGGACAATTAATACAAAGATCACCCGTATAGCCTTAACAGACTGTTGGGGCAAGCGGTGTTAGCGAGAGTACCTATGAAGGCCGGCACGGTACGGTACACAACAACACGCCCAGCCGCATTTGTCTCCCCAGTGGTGACGTTTACACACCACGGTTCAGATAATCGTCACTGGTGCTGGCCGTGAGCGGGAATCGAACTCGGATCGCCGGGTCTGTAGCACAGCGCGCAAACCACTGCAAAGACAAAGATCCCCCGTGTAGCCTGTAACAGGCTGTAGGTGCAAGTGCTGTGAGCGAGCACCTATGAAGGCCGGCACGGCACACGAGGGGGTGGGTGGGCCAGCACCACGCCCGGTCGCCTTTGTCTCCCCAGTGGCGATGTTGACACACCGCACCGGGTACGAATTTGAGGCTGAGTCGACCCAGGGGAGGCTCAGGACCAGTTCAGATAATCGTCACTGGTGTTGGCCGTGAGCGGGAATGGAACTCGGGTCGCGAGGTTCGTTGCGCAGCGCGCTAACCGTTACACATACGGATGAACACACATACACACAGAAACACACACTCTGTGATTTCCCGCTCAATTAAGCATTGTGGCTTTGCCCATCTCATGTTCACAGATCCAAGGCAGCGGTGGAAATTCCACATCCCTACGATTGGAAGCAAGTACATCCAAAGGACAACCACTGTCTTATTCCACCACACAAAGTGGTGCTCATTTTGACCAACCCTGAAAGGATGATAGGCCGAGTCAACCCCCTACAAGGATTTAGACTCGCAACTTATACCGCTCGCTCGACTGATGAGCCACCAGGGAGGGACTGTCGCTCGAACAAAGACAAATGTCTCCCGTGCAGCTTCAAACTGTCGGAGCAAGTGCTGTCAAGGGGGATGGGTGGCCAGCATCACGCCCAGCCGCCTTTGTCTCCCCAGTGGCGATGTTTTACACATCCCACCAGATACTTATTTCAGTCGACCAAGGGGGTTCAGATAATCGCCACGGGTGTTGGCGAACGTGAGCGGGAATTGAACTCGGGTCTCCCTGGTTCGTAGCGCGGTGCGCGAACCGTTACTCTACCCAGTCACACACAAACAAAAGGCTAAGGTCCGCCGTGTAGCCTTAACAGACTGTAGGGGCAAGTGCTGTGAGCGAGCACATACGAAGGCCGGCACGGCACACGAGGGGGTCGGTGGCCAACACCACGCCCGGCCGCCTTTGTCTCCCTCGTGGCGATGTTTACACATCGCACCAGGTTACTGATTTGAAGCTGAGTCGACCTAGGGAAGGCCCAGGTCAGATTCAGACAATCATCACCGGTGTTGGCCGTGAGCAGGAATCGAACTCAGGCCGCCGGGTTCGTGGCGCGGCGCGCTAACCACCACACGACCGCTCCCCGTCACACACAGACACACAAAGCCTTAACAGACTGTAGGGGCAAGTGCTGTTAGCGAGCACCTATGAAGGCCGGCACGGCACACGAGGGGGTGGGTGGCCAACACCACGTCCGACCGCCTTTGTCTCCCCAGTGGCGATGTTTACACACCGCACCAGGTACTCATTTCAGGCTGAGTCGACCTAGGGGAGCCCTAGGGGAGGCCCAAGACCGGTTCAGACACAACAGGCAGGCGCACGCGAGTCAGTCGCAATGCACTCCTCATTTCCCCCCCCGCGTCAGGGCCAATCTGTTCCGCTGGCCGTGAATCAATCAGCCCTGGACTCAGAACGCCAGACACAGCCCCGCGGGCTATTTATAGCCTCTCCCATGACACAGGAACACACGGGGCAGATTCTGTGCAGGCGCAGCCCTAGCAAATTGTTGGCTGAAGCAAATTCCTGGATGAAGGGGCCTCCACCGGAGGGAGGTCGCGACAGCCATCTCGAGAGGGGTATTTGGCCTACTCTTCCACGCCGGTCAGACGCCTTTGGCGAGTAATATCCACACTTGACTCCACGTGCGGTGGTGGCGCACGCTTCGAATCCAGCCTCCACAGGAGGTGAGCGGGAATCGAACTCGGGGCGCCGGGTTCGTAGCGCGGTGCGCGAACCGCTACACCACAAAGACCCCCCCGCGTAGCCTGTAACAGACTGTTGGGGCGAGTGCTGTTAGCGAGCAGCACCTATGAAGGCCGGAACGGCACACGAGGGGGTGGGTGACGAACACCACGGCCGGCCGCCTTTGTCTCCCCAGTGGTGACGTTAACACACACCGCACCAGTTACTCATTTGAGGCTGAGTCGACCTAGGGGAGGCCCATTTCCGGTTCAGATCATCAGCAGCTACACT